CCCTCTTCAAAACAGTACCCGTTTACTAATTTATTGGTTTTAAACATTGCCTGTTTATTGAGAAAGTATTCTTACTAGTTTAATGTTTCCCAACAATATTTAGTTACGAGGAAAGAACTGATTTACAGAACTAGCTTGTTCCTTCATGACTCAGGTGAAGAGCACAGCATTCCCCTCACTTTAAAAAAAATAACATTCTAGATTCGAATATAAGATTTTCAGATGGACGAGTTCTGTGAATACTGAAGAAGCTGAGCAGACCTTTGTGGTTGAAAGTAACATTAGTGAATCAGGTAAAATGTTCGCGAGTCTAGTATTGTTCTGTTTATGGGTTTCGACGTTGACTAGAATCCCGAAACTGAAGAGGTCGTTAACTACCATTAAGATCCGCGTAACAATACTTTAACGAAGGATTACTGCCAATTTGGTGATTTTTAGGTGTTTTTTGCAGCCCTATCTCTCATTTTGTGTCGTCGCACAATATACTGCAATGAAAACGCAATGTACAATATCTTGACATTTTAAATATTTCCTATTAGTACTTGTACCTGGTTTCCATACTGTGATCAGTTGATCATTTATCCATTATGAACAGTGCCTATAGTCGTGATCACGATTCAGTTAAATAGTTTAAGGTAGCTGTCTGTTGTTTCATTCACAACCGTAATTTAACGTTTCTCATTCAAAAGCATAAGTATAGAGGGACAATTTCGCGCAAACTAGACAGCCATTTTCTACATAAGTACAACGGTACAACAAAAATGGCGAACCTTGTAAAATCTACTAAACTTGCGATTGCGAAAGCAAAATGCGGAATTTCCGTAAGGAATTTACGTCAAGCAATGTCCGTAACTAAGTCCATCGAAATGTGTCCCGGTAATCAAAAGACCTATTTTTCCGAATTCTATGCAGGTTTGTTTTTGTGTCCGCTAATTAGTTCATACTTGGCACTTTTAACAGACTATTATTTGGTGACAAAGCATTTTCCATCAAAAAATATTTCGCATATTTTGCACCGTCATTATCTTTTGAACGATAAGTGCGAGTTTGAATGGCATAGCTCGAATGCACTTGATTTGACGGTGGTTCCAATGAGCCGTACTGAAAAATGCCAAAAAAAAAAATAGTTGAGAATTTCAAACTCTGGCAGCGAAGAAAGAAAATGCAGCCCTGGCGTTTGAGGGCGCGAACGCATGCGCAGATTGACACAACTTGAAGGCTGGTATCACAGAGAATAGAAATTGTCAAATTTCGTCATAAATGCGTAAAATCTGGAAACATATATGATTTATATGTAATCTAACAACATTTTGCGATAGTTCAATGTCTTATAAGCACTCGTAACTCGTTTGGACAAGGTATTTTGTATTTTGAGGTATGATTTTCGGCAGCTTGAAAAATGTGTGCACATTTTGTTTCCTCCCTTGTCTTATATATAGTGCAAGCAGTTCGACCGAAAACAAGTATTAGTGGTTTTTGTGGTTTCGGGGCGTGATGATTAAATTTAATAACATATGTTTGCTTTACTTTACTAAACTCTTTTAATTCCATCATTTCTATTATTTTGAGCATGGGCAAGGTCCTGTACCGGGACATAGTCGCACTGCCCCATAGACGTCCACGCATTGAGACGAATAGATCGTCAAGCCCCTGTGCTCGGAACATAATACATACTACGCCACACTCATTGCACAGTTAGGAATAGCATGTAGCGAACGACGCTCACATCGCAAGTCGAATTTTGGACATCACATTGGCAAATGCTTACATTTTTTTGGGTTAATAATATAATGTCGTTGGATTGATTATTTTTTTTCATATCGACTGTCATTCGTTTATCTGCTTATTGGATAATTGTAATTTCAGCATAATTATGCTATAAAGCAATAATCTGACAGCACTGCATTGGGTATCAAAGAGGTCAACAAACCCCTATTAGTTTACGAATCTCATAAGAGCCTACACTGCTGTTATTGGAATATGTGTTATTGCTAAAGGTTGGTGCTTTTAACTCTCAGAATTGTTTGCATTGTGATTGTGTATTGATTAGTTTATATAGGACACGTGTACAAATCACATGTGATTTTAATCGAAGACAAGAGAAACCTTGTCTGTACTATAGTTATTGCATTGTAAAATTGGCATAATAATGCAGCCAAGACAATAAAATGGTTTTGTCTGATGTAATTTCACGATTGTGTGTGTGCGATTGCACGTGTGTTCAATTTGAAGTGGTATTATAATTGAAATAATGGACTCCACACAGCCCAATATTGGGTGATAAAAGGGCAAGGACGGGGAAGGGAATTTTAATTAGGAGTGCAGCGTCAGCTTGACAAGAAAAAAATATACAGTGTGGTTAGTGCGTCGTGAAAGCTTGCTTTTCGGTTAGGCGTACAAATGAACAAGCACAAACTTGTAAACAAACGCACATTGCTAGAATTCCAGATAAAAATTACTATAATTTGTATGTATGTATTTTTTTGAATGAATGAAAGTACATTGACGCATTTGTCTGGGGATGTTCGATGCATGCATTGCCTAAATATTGAGTACAACGGTTGCCATAGAGTTATTTGATATTTGACTTAACCACATTCAAACTGCTTGTGCGAGAAGAGACGTGTTGTCCAACGTTTCTGGCTCCCAAAACGTTGACTTCAGTGCCTCTTTTACGTGTTAATTATCTCACTATTTTTGTACCTTATGGTGTGTTTTTAGCCTTCGCAGACGATTGGCTTTGTTCGTTCGTTCGTGCGTGCGTTCGTCTGTCTTTTACCTCTCCTAACTGTGATATGCTCTGTCCATTTTTTTCAAAGTTGGTGCAAATGTAATTCTCAATTCCATACATATGCACGCCAAGTATTTTTTGATTCGCCAAAATTTCGCTGTGTTTTTTTTGTGATTTGCAACATTTTACTAGTAAAAATGCCGAATTTTGCCGGAAAAATCCGAATTTTAACGACATCTCGCAAGAGAACTGGCATAACGTATTGCGCATGCGCCAGTTTAACCGTAATTTTTGTCTGTGGATATTGCATTCCGGGACTGTATCTTTCTTTGCACAAGTCTTATAAAGATTAAATTTTATCTCGTAAGTTTCAAAGGTAAAAAACTGTGCTTATGGTATTTATTATGAACTTTGATTTATCCTGACCTTGGTGAGAAACTAGCGATCGCACAGTGTCACGCTTTGCCAGAAAAAACAGTCCTGCTAGTATTGTAAGAACTGGTTATGAAACGTGTAAATCGAAAGTTTATTTCGTCATTTAGGAGGCTTGGGAATAACGTTTGGCATATAAAATACTGGAATAATAAAAACGTAAAAGTTTTGAACACGTTGATCGTGATTCTGCACAATTGCTATTTCCGGTATTCATTGGCACTTGCTAGCAGATTGAAAGAAAGTGTGAAACTTGGTTTCGTGACGAAAGCTATTTATTTCGGTAGATTAATTCAGGGTGGCAATTCCAATGTTTAGCTACCATAATTTATCTCAATTATGAGCAGAAAAATAAATTACGGACGCCGATTGGATAGATAGTTCTCAACGGCGGCCATGTTTTTATTTTTGTCAATGTGCAGTATGCAAATTACCAGCACGCGCGCGAAGCTATTAAGGGATCAAGATAAGAGAGTGGGTCAAATTCACGTAATCCTCAATTTTAATGATGTTGACTTAATAGTCATATTTTTTTTTTCAAAACTCCAGATATTATTTTATATAATTGTAAACAGTTAACAATATTAACTAATATATTTTTGACAATATATCTCATTTTAAGTATCTAAATTTGTTTCACCGTATACAGTAAATCTTGATTTAAAAAAATACAAAACTACAATATGTTAATTAGTATGCAAATTATTATGCTAATTAGCAGCCAAACTGAAACAATTTTCTGGAATGAACACTGCAATCCAGTTCAAAGGAAATTTGACATACACTTAGGCTACATGATTACTACCTCAGCTCAAGTGAAATCTTCAGATTTTAATGACATTGAAAAAACAAGTACTCTGGCTTTTTGCACATTCTTAATATTTTATTTTTCCCGTGAATATTAATTTGACAACTTTGTAGAGTGGAAACAGACTGGTGAATTAGTTCATCCTAGACTTTGGTAGAACATGTTTAAAATAGTACAGTGTGAACTGCAATTTCTTTCTGGTTGGTGCAAATATATAAGTAATATTTGTTCGTACTAAAAAAATCAAATATCATTTTTAAATTAAATTTAAAAGCCAATGGGAGCACATATGCTACAACCTCTGCTTACTTTGGACTAAATGTTTTTTTGTTTTGTTTTTGCAGGTGCAGAGCCAGAATGTTTTTTTTTCAGAAAGCAAAGCCACTGGAACTGCATGTATTACAAAAACATACCGGTACTATTCGCTGCGTGTCTGAAAATTGTATAAAGTTTCGCAGGTCCTCTTTTTTTTACTTTGAGAAGTGCTGTCAACCAAAGCATAAATATGTGTTTTCTCTGTACATAAAATTTCACACGATTTGTTAATATTAATGTATGATAATAAAAACTTGATAATATTCTTCTGGATTTTTGCACTTTATTTGTATCATTGTCGTATGAGAAGTAATCTTGTCCTTATTAGAGATATTGAAACTAATCCAGGGCCACAAACTAGTTTATCCAAACAGACAAAAGACTGACTCTACATATTTGCAGATCTGATTTGTATACTTCCTTGTCATTTTACCTGTTGTACTGGTTTGTCGCTATCTGGTTTTCTTGCTGAGAATAATGCTGACCTGGATGGAGAGTGCTATAAATTTGAAAATGCCATAGAAATCACGCTTGCTAATTTGTGTCCATTCAACTTTGGAATGACAACTAGCGAAGGCTATGTCATTCATGACTTGTTGTTAATACTTTCTAATTATTGGATTATTTGTACAACGAACAACCATATTAATGCTGCATTGTAGAATATTGCCGCGTAATAACTTCCAATCACAATTTGACACTACGTGAACATTATTTGTTTGAATGGCCAACCTTTATTTATTGGACAAATATTAAAGTACTTTGAAATTGATAATGTTCAATATGATTATATTCTTCAAAATGCTATACTGATATCACCATCGTGGAAACGCCATCACACTGCAATAGAAACATGAAAAACATGAAAGATTACTAGACTTGAAACCGACATATCTACTTAAATCTATAGTAACAAGTAAATTCATTTCAACAAAAAGGTCTAAATAAATTTGTTTCATTTTGATGGTGGTGATTTGTAACAACAATGAGAAAGGTTGGAACCGGAGAAGGGACTGGGCGCGCTAATATGTTCGGATTCGCCTCACAATTTATTTGTTTAATTATTTTGCCTATCCATTTATTGCGTGATAAAAGGACAAGGACGCTTATGTTTATGTAAATATTGGGCTCGCACATGCCCTTACTATCACGCCATAATGGCTAGTGCGTCGTCGTATATTCCCTACATAATGGCTAGAGTGGAGTACATTATTTTAAGTGTAATGTCTAAAAATTTAACGTGCAGTGTGGTTAGCGCGCCGTGGACGCTCGCACTTCCGTTACGCTTAAAAAAATCGCGACTTAAAATACGATGCATCAACAGGTATTATAATGCATGATAACAGAGTCAGAACGGACAGGATTGCTTACATGTAAAGAATGAACTCGGATAAGTCTCGCCCCCAACTGCCCTGTTATCACGCAGTATTGGACTGTGTGAGATTGTTTATTCATGTTTTGTCAATTGTGTTGAATTGACAACATCGAAATTATAGAAACAGATTTGTAAACGCATTTTTCTGGAATATAATTGTTATTACCGAGTCAATTCTCATATTGCTTTTTATATAGCTATGTTTTCGAATTGATTTATACTTCTTACCCATGACGGCGTCTTCTGCAGTGAATTGATTACAATAGCTCTCTTCGCAGCAGAACACACACTTAGTGCTTACGTGAACCGGATCCTCGTAACATTCTGGTGGATTTTTGCTCTGACGGGCTAGACATAGCTGCAGGAAACATATTGATCATTATTACTACAAAATACCGATTTTCAGATACAGTAATTGTTTTTAGCCGTTTTAAGGTAGCAGCAAGGGGGGACCTAATTAATTATAATCTACTATTCAGACACTCTGGAAACGTTAACAAACATGCTAAAATAACAACTTATACACCATCTGAAAGCGTTAATGTATGTGAATACATATGCAATGCCAATGTTTGTGTATAACATTATCTTAAATAATCGCAAAATTTGGTAAAATGAGATTGGAGACAAATATTGTATCATAACATTGAATGAGGCATAATTCAACTTACCTCTTTCGAAAAGCAGTCTCTAAAGAATTTAAGCTGTTGCTTGCTAGTCTTTTTTATTTTTGTAATGCATATTTCATCCTGTAAAACAGTAACAGACATTACAAATACGTGTAAGTTACACTAATTGTTTTAACACATCCTGAAAAAATCATCTGTGTTAAAGTAAATTACATTTACAATGACAGGAAAACACATACAAATCAAGGTTTTATGAGAACACTACACCTGCTCTCAATAATCAACATGATCTACCAGAATCAGTTAGGGTGTCAATATCAATAATTTGCTATGTTAAATAGGTTTAAACATGTTTGACCAGTTTTCTAGAAATGAATTATAGAATGAATTTACATTAGTCAACAACACAATTTGAGATTTTAACAAGAATTAAACACTGCTTACCTCGGCACATAGTGGAGCCCCGAATTTACTACCAGACCACGTTTCGCGACAGCCACGTCGAGCAGTATGCCATTCATTATCGCACTGAAAACACTGTAATCCTTAAAAATGCACATGCATTGAAAGACAATTTGAACATATAAACTGTATGAACTCGGGTAATTTTTCAGAACATTGTTTACAAGTAGGAAAATACATAGTCGAAAAAGTGATATAGGAACTAAATAGTCTTTTTTCGATATAAAAGTGTTATCTAGACAAACGAAATAAAATTATTGTACACTAGAAAAAATAACACAGGGGACACGACGCGCTTGACAAAGTTTGTAACACATTAATTGTCTGAGAACTTGACGTCCAAATAAATTATCCTAAGTATTAATGTGGATATTGGAATTATTTTTGTCTGCACGCAATATAGTAATTATTGTATTGTCTTTTTACTGCGTAAAGTTATAGCTTTCTCAATGTCATATAGATATATGAATATAAGTTTTACCACAACTGTCTTCGTCCTCTCCATTGGGGCATGTTGGGTACCCATCACACTTCACATAGGCAGGAAAACACTCGCCGGTGTTGCATTTAAACTCAAATTCACTATCGCATAAATCTGAAAAAAAGTTAATTTAAATGATGAATGAAAAGGAATCTGAAAACATTACGAGTATTTCTCGCTTGAGTCTACAACAAGTTCAGATCAAACACAGTTAAACTACCAGTACAATTCAAAACAAAATCGTTGTTGTGTGTGACGAAATCTATACTGTCGCTCGTTGAACAGTCGTAGAGCTGGTGGCAGTGGTGCAAAATGCCATGGTTATACCCCACGAGTGACTATGACAACACGTGCTTGCATTGCCAATATTATCACGAAGACAGACACAATGGTGAGTCTGTATCAAAGTTTATCACTTTCTGTCACCCTTGTTTATTCGAAAGTCAGGGTGTTTTTAACAGTTCGTTGAACATTCGGTAAAACTTATGTGTATCACGCTGGTCACACTAAGTTATATAAATAGCGTTTCCAGATTCCAGTATGGACAACATTTCAAAATTGCAGTATGGACAAAACCACGGAATAACAAACTCAAACTCAAATACACCTAAACTACAGTCAATACACCTAAAATAAAATGTGAATGAAATACACTGTCATATAATTGCCAAACAAATTTGAGCATAGCAAAATAATGTTCAATGCACGCTTTACTCTCGTCTAATATACGTACCCTGTGCAGATACACAGACTATTAAAACCAGCATCCATGTTATTCGGTAGTTCAGCATAGCGGAATTGCGGTAACCTTCAAAATGAATTACGTAATATGTAATTATTGTTTTGTAAAATTACGATGTGTGACTTGTGACAGCAGTATTACGCAAACACGAATGTCAATGTTTATATGGGTAGATATAAACGTTCGTCAATCAATACTCAAACTTCAATTAGTCAGGGCAAGAAAAAAATTTAAGGACACATAAAAAACGATGCATTTGTTGATCTTTTAAAAATATATACGAACCTGTTTTACGTATGTAGAATTTGGTAGTTCCCTTCCAATGATCTAGTTGGGTGCAATGTGGTCGAAATGACTACCTTCGTTATAATGATTTTAGAATGAGAAAGGTAATTTTAAATATATTGCTGGACAATATGGTGCTCAGATTGGTTTAGCAATATTAGAAGACGTGCTTGCAATATAAATGAATGCCGTCCCTTTGCAATGGTATAGACCGGGCAGAAAATACTTCCGGCTAACGTTGTTTAGACGTGCTAATTATTAGAAATTCTAGCAGATGGGCGTTAAGCCAGACATGCAAAATACAATCATCTAGTCACTATTATTATTAATTAAATGTGTATTTCATGTATATAATCACTTTAATTGCCTGAAGTGTATAACAATACCTGCGGACAGCTTATAATATATTTTGGCGACAGTTTTGTTATTGGTTACACTGTGAATGTTATTTTACTGATATTACTATATCGCGTGTGGTTACATTCACCATACGGATTGTTACCAGAATATAACATCACACATAATAGTAACTAATTAACAAAACAGTATGGTTTATTGGAGCGTATTGTCAGCACTTCCTCTTGTAATTGACGAACAATCAATCAATCAATGTAACCTTTTCGTTCATCTTCTCCCACCGTAAACAAAATTATGTAAGAGTGTAATAAACTATTTTCACGTACATTAATTGAAATCACCACCGACTACCGGCACCCCACGTAAACAAAGAGAATACCTTCGATGTGCAGATATTTTAAATATCCATTGCCCTTGTGTTAGTTTAATTTAAATAGATGTGAACGAGGTGTAACGTATTCCTTAGAGTATACATGGGTTTTACAAAATTTGTAACACCGATTTTCATGGTTTAGATTGCATGCAACTTCAAGAAACGTAGTGTATTTTACTCCAGTGTTAGCCCCAACGGTGTATATTTTGATTTCAAGTACTTAGAATTAGAACTCTCTTTTTTTTTCTTTGGTTGATTTTGTGTTACACCAGTGCCGTCTGACTAATGTGGATTTCGTTGTTTATGTGTTACTCGAATCGACAAGAAAATAGCCCAATTACAAATCTGGATGTTCGATTTTCTGCTAACCGTATTATTCGCTAACAGCTGAGACAGGAGGTGATATAAGTATGAACGGCCGGTATTCATTACAAATATTTATGTACAGGAATTTATATTAATATTTATAAATGACTTTTCTATATTGGTAAACCTCCATTTGCTATTAAATGATATTCACAAATCCTCTATTTGTATGCGTAGAAGTTCCATTTATATTGAATTTCGTAGAATCTTTTGCATACCATATTAAAGTCAGTTTAATGAAATACGTGTCTTAGTTTAAGGGTTAGGATAGATATTCTGTCAATATCTACCTGTTTATATAACTATACTTCAATTGAATTCAACTTGAACTTTATTTATAATACAATCCTACAGTATGTAAGAGATAATGGGGTTAACATTAAGCATACTTAATTCATTTTCATATTGAAAACAATGAAGATTTATCGTTGAAAATATTTGACAGCACATTATTTCGAAGAAACAGAGTAAGAAGCAATGCCTAAGCGCTCGTGTTCAGTTACACGTACAAGATATTCAACACGCATGCCTACTAGTTTGTTTGTATCGAGAGAATACTCGCCACCTTTGCTGCCGAATCATTTGTTTGTTATCCCATGGCAGTTCAGTTTAATAGTTTTCTTTGTATCCATACTTAAACAATAATGTACGACCCGCCAACCCGTGATGGGCGAAAGCTCACTTTGTGCGAGATATATGTACGAGGCGTGAGCCGAGTAGATATAAGAAGCATAAAGTGTGCTTGATTCAATATCAGTGGATTTGCTGACTCTGAAAAGCGGAACATTTTGAGAAAAATCCACAGTGAACGAAATAATTTCACAGTCACTGCCCGTGAATTTGAATAGTTTCAAATGTCTTTCTGGTAATTGTTTCTACAATCTCATATGGCAAACTAAGAAAGAAACTAGTTTTAATCCA